ATGTGCTTGCATTCGCTTCATTTTCTAAACCAAATATTCAAAAGAACATAAACAGCATTATATATATCGACCCTTTTCCTCTGTCATAACATTACTGAACATTAATATTTTGCCAAGGCATGAACCAGCACTGCATTTCAATGATCTCTTTGTGGGGATGGAAGGCACAGAGAATTCACCAATGAGGCAGTACACAGTATGCTGTTGTCTGCTGTAAGAATACAGTTCAAAGTCCAAGGCAAGCATAAACGAAACATCACTAGTGTAACCAATTCAAAAGAGCCTGGTGAAACAGGAGTGGTTCCCCGACCTGGAAACTTAGCACAGCAGATGAATAAAAAAAGAAGGAAAACTGTGTACAAACAAATAAAAACGAAGTTGTTTCAGTCCAGACATTCAACATTTTATATACAAAGTCCATACAACAAAACATGGCAACACTTAGGTTGATATGTAAGTACAATAATATTCCTCAAAGTAGGGCAAAAATAGCAAGTGAAATGAACGCATGGCTCCTGCTACAGCACATGGTTAGACTCTTGATAAAGGGTCTAAACCAGGGGTGTCCGATCCTGCTCCTGGAGGACTCCAACCTGCCCCAACACACTTGCCTGGACATTTTTTTGGGTGCTTTCCACTTTGCATTTAGGCACAAACACTTCCCCTTAAGGTTTAATTTGCGCAGATAACAATGAAAAACAAACACTGCCGTTATCTTTTTTTTCCGTTGTCTATATTCTCTAGGTTGTACAGTATATCAGTGTAGTATAAGTCATGTTCAGCAGTGTTTAGTACAAGCCTTGGGTCAAATGGGTGACTTGTCAGACTTCCAAAAAGGAAAAATCATGGGAGCCCATTTAGCAGGAGTGTCTGTAACCTCAACAGCCCAAATGTTTGGTGTTTTAAGAACAACAGCCTTTTTGATTATGACTGCTTACACACAGCATGACTTCATCAGCGAAGAAGTATGATAGGGACCGTTGAAAACTAATAAGACTTGTATCCAAACAACACAGAATTACTGCAGCAAAAGTAACAGCAAAGTTCAATATTGATCTTGAAGACCCTGTTTTCACAATAGCCAACATCACCGACTTGACATCTGTCCTGGCCAGCTCAATCACCTGGCTTGAATATTATCAAACCACTGTGGCCAGTTTTGGAGAGAAGAGTGAGAAGATGATTCGCTTCCTCCAACATCTCTGGTGTTTTGATATAAAACATTCAACTGGAGACAATTCAAAAGTTTTGTGAATCTATTCAAGAAGGTTGGAAGCTGCATTAAAGGCAAATGGTGGTAAAATACCTTAATAAAGATATATTGTATATTTCCCAGGTGTTTACATTATTTTGTCCAACCCCTGTATGCATACTTCAGGCAGGACCGTATACCACAAAACGACATGATTGTCACGGTATAGCAATGCTTATAGCATGGTATATCATGCTTAATTTAATCCCACCCTAGTGTATGATATACGAATGATTTTGAGATTTTGCACAGATGTCTTGACAGTCTGTGATAAGACCTGCTAGCATCATATTATCATGAGCAAATTTGACGTCAAACTTCGAGCTATGTGTGGCCACACATTCATGGGTTAAAGCAGTGTACAAATTTTCAAACTCTTCCTAAACATCTAATCCAACTCAGTAGCTTGTTAGTGTAGTCTCCAAAACATAAAAAGGATGTGTCAAAATAGGGAGACATCCAAAATGTGTTGGTGTGCCTCCAGGAATAGGTTTGGAAATTTGTGCTGTAGAATGAAGTACAAGAAGTGGGCTGGGAACACAGCAGGTGGAACTCTGGATGGTAGCCTTCCAGGAGCAGGTCTGGCTACCTCCATTTTACAACCTGTACCAGACCACAGTCAGTGAAAGAGTGATGTTGAAGATGTTAGAGAAAACACAGGCTGGTTTGAGTATGCATGCTCTGTGGACATGGTTTGGAATGCCGTCTGGACCCAATGCCTTGTGCTTATTCAACTGTTTGAAGAATTAGGTTATTTCCGCTACAGAGAAATAGAATTTACCAGGATCTGCAGCATCTGCCACGGGAGCCCTTTCCCCAAAGATGGTGTTATTTGCCTCGAAACAAGCATAGAAATTACTGAGCTTAGGAGATAGAGAGCAGTGCCTTTTTTGCTACTCCACATTCCCAAAGGGACCACAGTCAGTGAAAGAGTGATGTTGAAGATGTTAGAGAAAACACAGGCTGGTTTGAGTATGCATGCTCTGTGGACATGGTTTGGAATGCCGTCTGGACCCAATGCCTTGTGCTTATTCAACTGTTTGAAGAATTAGGTTATTTCCGCTACAGAGAAATAGAATTTACCAGGATCTGCAGCATCTGCCACGGGAGCCCTTTCCCCAAAGATGGTGTTATTTGCCTCGAAACAAGCATAGAAATTACTGAGCTTAGGAGATAGAGAGCAGTGCCTTTTTTGCTACTCCACATTCCCAAAAATAAAAGCAGATGTCTGTGCGAACACAGGCCATTAAAGGATAAGTTAACTTCCAGAATAAAAATTTCCTGATAATTTAATCACCCCCATGTCATCCAAGATGTTCATGTCTTTCTGTCTTCAGTCGCAAAGAAATTAAGTTTTTTGAGGAAAACATTCCAGGATTTTTCTCCATATAATGGACTTAAATGATGGATTGAAGGTCCAAATTGCAGCTTCAAAGGGCTCTACACGATCCCAGCCGAGGAATAGGGGTCTAATCTAGCAAAACGATCAGTCATATTCTAAAAAAATAATTACAAAAATGTACATACTTTTTAACAACAAATGCATGTCTTGCAATAGCTCCGCGATGCGCGTCTACAAATTCACGCATTACGTAATCACGTTGGAAAGGTCATGCACGGTTAGCTCTTCGTCTGTGTACTCCGGTTCAGAAAGGTAGGGTAGGGAGAAAAAATCCATCTCATTTTCTCCTCCAACTTCAAAATCGCCCGACATTGTTGTTTTACCTTTTTTTTTAAAAGGCGTTTAACTTTCTTTGCATGTTCACTTTGTAAACATTGGGGTGGTACTTCCGCCTACGTCACGTGTGACCTTTCCAACGTGATTACGTAATGCGTGAAGTCAAGCTAGTGCAAGATGAGCATTTGTGGTTAAAAAGTATATACATTTAAATTTTTTAAAGAAAAGTACAGTTGTTTTGGTAGATAGGACACTTATTCCTAGGCTGGGATCGTGTAGAGCCCTTTGAAGCTGCATTGAAACTGCAATTTGGACCTTCAGCCCGTTGGTCACCATTGAAGTCCATTATATGGAGAAAAATTGTGGAATGTTTTCCTCAACCTTAATTTCTGTGCGACTGAAGAAAGAAAGACATGAACATCTTGGATGACATGGGGTGAGTAAATTATCAGGAAATTTTATTTTGGAACTGAACTAATCCTTTAATTCACGGTTTCTGATTGAGGTAGATGTGCATTGTTTTGGTTGACTAAAAGATCAATGCCAATAATCAAAATCGAGAAATAGCACAGTCTCTGGAAAAGGATGAAAATTCCCAGCTTGTTTGCACACACTATCAAGTGGAGTATACTTTTGAAAGGCTACACTCTAAAAAATGCTGGGTTAAATATAACCCAGTGCTGGGTTAAAAGGGACAAGCCCAGCTATTGGGTTGTTTTGACCCAGTGCTGGGTTATATTTAACCCAGCATTTTTTAGAGTGTATAATTTCACTCTGTACACGTAAAAAAAACTGAAGTATACTTTGAGCTTATAGTGTCGTTGAGAGAACAGTGGGTGAAAGGAGGGACAAAGGTGCACTCTAGGGTCCAGGGTTACCAAAGAGGTTTATTCATATTCTAAATCTAGTTGTACTTGAGAATTACGTAGAAGATCATTCATAATACCATTTTATACCACATTCTGTAGAGGTACTATACTCTTGTATGGGTTTACATGAAGTTCCTGGGCCCAGCTCAGTATGTATTTGTTTTTAGTTGATCAGCCTGCTAATTTCTGCTAATCTGACTATTTAAACACTTCAATTATCTGTTTACTTAACAGTAATTTGTTGCGAATTTTACTGCATGCATTTACTTTTTCTTCATTTACTTTTCTCCATTATTCAATAATCTAATGGTTTTTTGTTCTTTGCCACAGACGCCTTTGTCTGATATTTTGTATTATGTAGCCTACTATGTATTAGGTATACATCCACTAACTTTCCTCTAACAAATCACTACACTTTTTTTTTTTTTTTAAGTTGTAGGATCGCTGTTTCTTTCACACTACATGACTGTTTTGGGTATCATTAAGTTCTTAAACAACTTCGTTTAAGGCCACTATAATCAAATGTAAACACATTTGTAACATTGGTAACCCATTTGTACAGTAGGTACAAAAGATGCTCTGAAATTTCACTTTTGACTAAAAAATTTAGGCTAATAATATTTGTATAGAAAACAGAAGCATTTTCAATAGCTGCCTCAAACTGTTTGTCTCTTTTTGGGCCTGCCTTAATGATTCATTTGGACCATCCACCCCTTACGAGATGGACTTAAGAAATGAGATGAGTTTCACTTTGCAGAGAATTCGCAAAATCCAGCCTGGGGAAATTATTACAGTCACACTGTTTCCTTTGTCCTTCTACAATAACTTTGTGGTGGCACAAAGAAGCTCTGTAAGAAACACTAGAATTCAGATTCTCTTGTGTTGCGTGGTACAGCAGCGGCTTTGTCTCGCTGAACTGGGTTCAAACCTGACCACCTCCTGAGGAAGCACTGCTCTGAAATCTATGAATCTCTAGATCTGTTGTTTTATGAAAAATATACAGAATCATAAAAACGACTTATCTATGAATTTATCACAAATGGCAAAGTTTCCATAATTTGTCATGTCTATTGCAGTGTTTCTGGATCTTTTTTCAAAGAAATTAGATTTTTTTTTTTTGTACTTTGTGACAGAATCTGTAGCACTTGTTTTAACTGGCACAGTGGGGGGTGGTAGGTGATGACAATGATCTTACTGTGAAATGTCAGATAACTCCCGATGTTTCTGTGCAGGACAGGGGGAGGCGGACCTTAACCAGAACAATGGGTGCTCCAGCAAGAGTCCAGTGGTGACTGACTCCATGAACGCTGCAGTAGATCTCAGCAGCTGGAACCATCCGAACACAGCCGACCCTAATGCCTCAGGGCCCCGCCCACACTTGGTCCGCCTCTTTTCTCGAGATGCCCCAGGTCGCGAGGACAACACCTTCAAAGACCGCCCCTCGGAGTCTGACGAGCTGCAGACCATCCAGGAGCACAGCGGAGCTGACTCAGAGTGCGGTTCCGAGTGTGCAGAGGAGGACCTAAATTAGATTTCCTCTTTGCCTACTCTTTCCTCACTCCTATTTTGGAAAAACACAACAAAAAAACACCGCTGCAGAGATTAAAGCAAACACTCAGCATGGCATCTGCAAGCTCTTCGCAGTCAACATTCAGGCTGGGCCGCAGTAAGAAGAACCCTACTGTTATGGATCAGATCGGAAAGTTCTTTGGAGGGGATAAAAAGAAGAAGGGAAAGGTGAGGATTGAGCAGGCATTCAGAGTTCTCCACATGAGCCTTTACTACTGTTCTATTTGCTTGAATTTATCTTGACCTGCAATTCTTTTTTGATTATGAGATCACCACCAGTAAATGAGTTGCGTGTGATTTTCTTTTCTTTTTTTTAAATTGACTTTTAACTCTTTAACCTGCTGTCATATAGTATCCAGTATTGAATAAAGCTGCAATTTGCTTTGTTATAGGAATTTACTATGATTCAGGGATTCAGCATACAGTGTGATGTTTATAAACATGACTTTTAGCTTTTGTAAAATGTTCAAATGTATTCGAAATGCCTGTGTAGGAACAAAATTAAGTGTTTTTACGACTTTTCAACATTTCTGTTGCCGTCAGTGAAAAGTTCTGTACTAAACAGAAAAGATGGTACATATAGCGTATTGTACAATGAGTGGTACTAAGTCTCAACCAGGATGTTTATGTTGGCAAAGAGAATTTTCACATATCTGTGACTTTTTCTTATACAGTATGTGACCGATGAATATTATATATTTTATAGCCATTTTAGAATCCAATTATCTTATAACATCATGGTGTTAAGGGAGCACCTCAGGGTTTTTCATGGTACAGCAGAGGCCATTACCGATCAGTTTGGTTTCTAAAATGAATTTGCAAAGTTTTGGAAATTATCCTTAACATTTGTTATGCTTGTGAAATTATGCAATTTCTAGAGCCTTAACTTTTAAGAAAAGAGGGAGATCAATATTTTTCTTCTACAATAAAGATATTTAAGCTGTTAGGTGACAAACACCAAAGTTGGGAAACTTTTTGGCTTTGTGGGAAAATGTAAAATGAGATCATAATGATGTAAGTTTATATTTGTGACCTTATTTTTAAAGTGCCATATGATGGTTAAAATGTAACGTTACATAATTACTGACTTGCGCAGTGTGTAACATTTTGATTAACTAGTTTTGATTTTGTGGGGAAAAATAATGTTAAATAATGTGACAAAGAGATTGAGATGTCATAGTTCCAGTTGTATAATAGTTTTTGTCTCCGACCTACATTTTGCTGCTTCAACCAGACTTCTCAAAAATGCCTCAGGTTAACTCATCTCTCCTATGTAACAATGTGATCTTTAAGTGTTAATGCCTCACTAGTAACCCCTATAGATTGTGTCCCATTTGTAACAACAACAGCTTGTGTAACCTACATATTCCAGAACAACCCTGAAGCTGTTCCTTAGCCTGATCCTGTCCTGAGCTTTTTGACATTTGCTTGATTAAAATATATCTAACAACATGAACACTGGCTTTTTTAAAATTGGTGTGGTCACAATGTGAATTTGAAATTGCCAAGGTAAAGTGTCTTGTAAAGGGTTGACAACTCAGGTCTAATTTATATGCATAAGCAAGAGTAAGCGGTTTTTGAACAGTATTAATGAAAATACAGTTGGTTTTAAATATAATCGTTTGTCAAAGTCTGATGTGATTAAAAAAAAAAATCTATGTTATATTAAAAGATCCTTTGATTATTTTGTACTGACAGGAAACTGCTAATATTTGAATACCGAACATACAGAAATTTTAACATTAGCTAATAAACCACTACGGATATGAAAACACTGTGTATTTATTATTCACAGGCAGTCTTTCCTTGCTGTGAGCATTGGGCAATGTAGTTTTAAAAAAATATTATTATGAATTATTACTATTACTAATTATTACGATTTTGACTATTTGATGAAGATTTATAATTATATAAATATTTAGAGTATGCATTTGCTCGGACATTGTTTAAAAGGTATAGTTTCTTCAGAAAGTCCTTAATTTTAAAACTTCACTCTAAAAAATGCTGGGTTGTTTCAACCCAGCTTTGGGTCAAATATGGACTAACCCAACTTTTGGGTTAAAACACTCTAAAAAATGCTGGGTTGTTTCAACCCAACTTTGGGTCAAATATGGACTAACCCAACTGTTGGGTTAAATTTTTACATTCAATTTTTAACCCAAAAGTTGGGTTAGTCCATATTTGACCCAAAGTTGGGTTGAAACAACCCAGCATTTTTTAGAGTGTTCCAATGTAGCCATTAGATAGATTCAAAAAGATAGATGTAGCGGTTAGATTCAAAATGTTTAATGCAAGAAGTGAAATGCAGAAAGTTATGCAATGCTTAACCTTACTAACAAGCAAAACAACTAACGGCATACTTTCTGCAGTCCCCCAGGAGCAATATGTGGTAACTGCTCAGCAACACAGTGAAGAAAGGGGATTTCAGAATGGATTTCAGTTTAAGGATTGTCCCAATGCCTCAGCGAAGCAACCCTTTCATCTTAATAGTAAGATGAAACAGAACGCAAGGGGCAAGTTGTGTTGATGGATCTGTGAGAGGAAACTGGGCATGATGCCATTGAGGTACAAGGCTTCATAAAACACAAAGAGGATGGCTCCAAAATAGAAAGCTTGTTCACAATGGCCACCTTCTCTTCCTGGGCTAACACTGGTACTCATAAAACGTGAAAGCCCAGGCCCCATACCTCAGTGAGTCCCAGATGGTGATGAGTCCAGCCCTTTGGAGGTTTCCCAAGGTGTTCCTCCCATCTCTCCTTGGCCATCATCCTTCTCTCAACCCTAAGGCCAAACCCGATGTCAGATCTGCAAGATTGGCTGTTTGCAGTCTGGAAAAGAGTTGATAAGCTGTCAAGTCAGACATTTTTTGCTTAGCATGTGTGTACATGAACATCACTATAAGAAATACATATTCACAGAGGCAAATTTTGTAACCAAAAGGCTTTTTTCAAGCAGAAAATCCAAATAGTTCTAATATCTAAACATTCTAAAGAACGTGAGTCTATGCATTATTTTTAATATGCTGATACAGTACCTCATATTTTATAATATAGGAAGCTTGTTTTTTTTTCTTAATGACCATTCCTTAATTTACATAATCATTTCATGTGTAAAGCAATGCCAGTCAAACAAAAATAAAATGTAAATAGAATAAGCTCATTCTGTACCTTTAAAAAAGATTAAAAATGAAAGAGCAAACTGACATGATGAATATACTGTAGCCAAAGAAAACGTACAAAGATGGCCTAACAATTAATCAATCACAGCATAACTGATGATGCCAGACATTGATGGTATTCAACTTCAAAGCAGCTTCTTCTCCTTTGAGACATACATGAGGGCCTTTCGCACCGCTTTAGTTCCAAGAACTAAATGTACAGTACTAAAGTACTGGGACGATTTTGCGCGAACTATTTCCCAGTACCATTTAAAGGGTTGCATTCGCACCGAGAGTGTGTACTAAGAAGTGACATAAGCCGGTCGACAGCGACGTCATTTGTGCGCGGCGTTCAACAACAGAAACAAAGAAGAACAACATTAACAACAGGAGGATGGAAGACGCTGTGATCGGAGCTGTGTTTTTGTTGTGTCTCGCAGGTTTCACAATAATGGACATGGAAAGTCGACGTATACGTAAAGCAATTGAAAGAACGGAAAGGAGGACTAAGAATCTCCAACGACAACTGGCAGTGCTACATTTGCTACAAGTGCCTGCACTTCAGCGTCCGTCCATCTGTGAGGGCGTTTTCGTACGCGTTTGCCCAATCAATGTCTACTTACGTCACTGGTAGTACCAGTTGTGCTGGTTAGACCCTGCTCCGGAGTAGGAGCTAATTTGGTTCTCGAAAAAGGCAGTCCGGTACTAAAATCGCACCCAGTTCCGGCGGTGCGAAAACGGCAAAAAGTGGGCAGTTCCACAATTAGTTCTGGTACTATGAAAAGGTTCCCGCGGTGCGAAAGGCCCTATGGGTTGCAATGGACCTAGCTGAGATCATTCAGTTAGGAGTTGTAGTCTGACTGGCAGGCTAAGATCATGGAGGTAGAGACTGTAGTAAAGCCAGCAATAGAGGTCTGGTGTGTGTGTCTGCATAATAATCTTGCTAGTTGATTAGGTGTCTGTTGTGGTTTTAGCTGGCCCTGGCATGATGTGTTTGTGGCCTTTGCTGACCATCTGCAATGAGTGATTGTCTGGTCGTAGAGATTGCTGGCCGAGAAGGGCTGTGTTATGGTCTTTGCTTGGATGCGATTGAATCTGGCCTGGATACAGTCTGGATCAGGTTGACTAGGGTAACCTCGGGATAAGTCTGAGGATGAGTGATCGAGTCAGACAGAGACCAGTATGAGTGCAGATGCCATTCACTTTTATGTGAAGTGATTTTCAGATTAAATTGAACTGCATTAAAAATGTATATAAAGGGGGCAGCATGATGACTCAGTGGTAGCACTGTTGCCTCAAAGCAAGAAGATCCCTGGTTTGAGTCCCGGCTGAGCCAGTAGGCCTTATTCTCACCATGTTTGCAAAAGTTTCCTCCAGGTGCTCTGATTTTCCCCACAATCCAAATTGCCTTTAGATATGTGTGTGTGAGCCCTTTGATGGACTGGGAGGGTGTCCCCCGCCTGTGGCCCGAATCGCTGGGATAGGCTTCAGTATTCCCGTGATCCTACAGAGGATAAGCCGTTTGGGGCATGGATGGATACAAAGACCTGTTCACATCAAGACTTGAATAAATGTCTATTAATGCATCTGTCCAGACCAACATGAGCATCAGTCAATGTGACAGATTTTTTAAAATCTCTTTTCCATGGCACTATGAAGAAAACTGGCCAACAGTAGGATTCATGCTTTTGGTCACATGCCCAGAGCCGCTGATGTTAAAAACATACATAAAACCATGACTCATGAACAAAGTATTTTGCTAAGGAACAGTGAATAGCAGAGGAAAAATCTGGAACCGGTTATCTTGTCCCTGTCGCTGTGTCCAAA